CAGCGTATGTTTGGATGACTTATCTCATTTTTCTGATATTGAAAAGTTTTGGTTTCTAGCCTTTCAGGTTGTCTATAATTTTAAGGATGGTTCACATTGGTCTTGAACTTTTGAACAATATACGGTTTTCATTTCAAATCTATTTTCTTAGCATGTGATCACCAATGTTGAACGGATACAAATTTGGGATACTAGAGACAATACGAATATCTCCAAAAACTAGGATACATATACAACGGTTAAAATAATATATATAGATATATATGGGAAAAGGGAATGTTTGTCAGATTGTCTGGCAAATTGTGAATCTGGAAACATAAGCATTTTTTTGGCAAGAGAACTTTAATCTACTATAGGTATAATATGTATTATTTCTTCTCTTTAATCAGAAACGTTGAAAACCTATACCCCTTTCTCATTTTGTCGAACCACGAAAGAGGAGACTTATGTAGCCGGTTAAAATTAGCTTTTGAACAGTAGACCCCATTTTGTATCCTGACCGTGTTTCGTTATCAATTTTCGTAGTAGTGGCTACAAATAAACTCAAGAGGCAAAAGGACCTTCATCTCTTGAATTGTGGCACATAGGTCCTCGTCTATTTCTTTCACATTTGTAATGCCAAAGTTTCCAATAAATCTAATAATCTTTCCTTCTGATTCAATATATGCCAAAGTTTGCAATTTCTTCATCTTACTAATACTTGATGGTATTCTTACAAACACAATTAACATAGAAGATAAAAGAATCCATGATCCAAATCTTCAAAGCTAATCATCGACATACATCTGCCCATTGCTGAAGCGACAGATGCAATTTTATGAACATCATCAACTTGGGTATTATTTGATTTTCAAATAGAGCAAAAAGAGAATTCGTGGGTAAAATCTTCAATCGGTAAGGACTCGTTTCTGCAAAATATATAAAAAGACAAAAGCGATATTGTAATTAACAAACAATTTATATGGCTTTACATCCAAATCATTAAGTTCGGAAATATTCCAAATCATTAAGTTTAGGAAAGGCAATGAAAGGATAGAAGAGACTTACGTATATTTCTTACATCTCTTGTCGACGAGTAGCATCCTTGCATGATCCACACCTCCTTCTTTTATGGACTCTCTAAACTTCTTTGAAACATTATCAAATCTATATCCTTGTAGTTTAGTAAGGTGCTCAATACCCTGTGGCAATGTTTTTAACGTCATGCAACTACGAATGTCTAAGAACTCGAGATTTGGCATCGCCCCTTTTTCTATAGTTATCTTATTTAATAATGCGAAATTCCGAAACCGCAAATACCGAAGCTTCACAAAGCCACTGCTAAAACATAACTCTTCCCTAACAGAGGCATCATCAAGGTTAAGAAAATGTAAAGAGGGTAATGCTTCAATATGAGGTAGAAAATCTTCTTCAAGTCTAGACCCATACAGATACAAATATGTGAGAGCGTGGAGTGAACAAAACCAATGTGGTACCTTTTCCAGTTTGCCGACCAATTTAAGTCTTTCAAGGTAGGGAGGCGGTGAAGACAATGCCTCAACTCGAAGAAATTCCTCTCCATCTGCTACAA